TGCGTGTTGCCGACCACTGATAGACCAGAACCGACCCACACGTTGCTGTCGGCGTACACGGCGCCAACCAGAGAGGTCTCGCCAGCGACGGCCAAGTTGTGCTCCACCTGCGCGCTGTGCGCAACGTTGAGGTCATCGGTAATGGAGACCGAGGCCTCCACGCGCAGGTTGCTCTGGAGGGTGGTCTCGCCTACGACGAGAAGTGCAGCGCCGAGGCTGGTGGCCTTCTCCACGAACAGGTCGAGGTTGATGCGCACATCGCCCTCCACCGACACGAGCCCGCCGAAGTCAGCATCGCCGTCCACATCGAGCTCGCCGTCCACATCGAGGTCGCCGCTCACGTCCACGTTGGCGCCCACCGTCATGTCCTCGGCGAACGAGGACAGACCACCGACGTAAAGACCGTCGCGCAGCTCGGTGAACTTGTCCACCTTGAGCTCGCCGCCGACGAGCACGTCCGACAGCGCGCGCACGATGCCCTCGACGGTGGCCGTCTTGGTCACGGTGAGCGACTGCGAGATCTCGACGTTGGCATCCACGAACACGTCGTCCAGGAGCGTGGTCTCGCCCACAACGAGAAGAGTCTCGCCGAGGCTGGTGGCCTTCTCCACGAACAGGTCGCCGTCCGTGCGCACGTCACCACGAACCGAGGCCGAACCAGAAACGTGCAGTTCCTGCGTGACGTGTGCGAAGCTCAACGAAGCCGTGCCGGAGACGGCGAGGTCGCCTTCGACGAGAGCATCGCCGCGGACGCCAAGAGTGCCCACGACTTCGGCGTCGCGGCCGATGTACACATCACGGACGACAGAAAGATCATTCTGAGCCACAAGGTCGCTGGAGAAAGTAGCCTGGCCGACGACATCCAGGGTGCCCTGGACGGCGGCGTTGGAGCCTGCAAGGAGGTCGCCGCCAACGGTGGTCTCGCCGACGACGAAGAGGTCCTGACCGAGACTGGTGGCCTTCTCCACGAACAGGTCGCCATCCGTCTGCACGTCCCCGCGCACCGACAGCTCCCCGGTAACCGCTAGCTGCTCGCGCACGTCGAGGCTGCCATCGACCGCGGCGTTGGCAGTTACGATGACGTGGTCGCTGAAGGTGGAAACACCAGCGACGCGAAGATTGCCGGCGATCTGAGCTGAACCATCGACGCTGAGTTGGCCGCCCACAAGGACGTCGCTAACGCCGTGCAAGACTCCTTGAACCGTAGCGGCCTTGGTGACGGTAAGCGTCTGGGTGACTTCAACTGAAGCCGAGACAAGCAGAGTGTCCTCAAGAGTGGTACGGCCGCCGACGATGAGGCTCTGGCCGACGCTGGTGGCAAGCTCCACGAAGAGCGCTCCGTTGGTGCGCACGTCACCCTCAACCGAGAGGAGACCGCCGAATTCGGCAGCGCCGTCAACGTCGAGGTCGCCGTCCACTTCCACGTTGGCACCCACGGTGACGTCCTCGGCGAACGAGGACAGACCGTCGACGTGGAGGCCACCACGCAGCTCAGCGAACTTGTCCACCTGGAGCTCGCCGCCGACGAGCACGTCCGACAGCGCGCGCACAGCGGCTTCGAAGGTGGAGGTCTTGGCGATGGTAAGGGTCTGCGAGACCACGACGTTGGCATCCACAAACAGGTCGCCCTGGAGAGTGGTCTCGCCCACGACGACGAGGTCGACGCCGAGGCTGGTGGACTTCTCCACGAACAGGTCGCCATCCGTATGCACGTTGCCGCGCACCGACAGCTCGCCGCCCACAACGGCAGACTCGACAACGTGGAGATCATTGCTGACGCGAGCCGATCCATAAACGAAGACGTCGTCGCTAAGCGAGGATACACCGGTCACCGCAAGGTTACCCTCGACGAGCTGGTTTCCGCTGACTTCGAGATCACCACCGACGTGAGCATCCTTGGTGTGAAGCACGCCATTGACGGAGGCCTCGCCAAGAAGGTAGGTGGTTCCGACGACTTCGAGTGAGTCAGCAAGAGTGGTCTCGCCGACGACGAGAAGGGCGGCGCCGAGGCTGGTGGCCTTCTCCACGAGGAGCTCGTCGCCGAAGCGGGCCTGCGATCTAACGGTCAGCTCGCCGGTCACGTCGGCATCCTCACGGACATAGAGGCTCTCGCCAACGCGGACGTCGTTCGCGAGCGTGGCGACTCTGTCCACGGAGAGTTTGCCTCGGATCTCGACGCTTTCACCGACATGGACGTCCTCGGCAATCCAGGCACTGCGGCCGGCGTAGACGAAGCCATTGAGCGAGGAGTCGCCACCGACGGACAAGTCCGAAGCCACGTGAGCGCTGTTTGCGTATGCGTCGGAGCCGACGCTGAGCTCGCCAATCACGTGAGCGGAGCCGCCAACAAGGATTTCTCCTCTTACCTCGGCGTCCTCGTCCACAGTAAGATATCTTCCGACGAAGGCGTCGAGGCTGATGTCGACGCCCTTCAAAAATTGGGCCTGCTGGTGCACGTCGAGCTCGCCGCCGACGTTGAGGTTGAGGTCCACGTCGACGTTGTTGCCGAACGACGCAGCCGACTGGACGCCGAGAGTTCCGGTGACCTCGGTGTCGCCGTTGATAAGCACGATGCCGCTGACTTGGACGTTGCCATCGAGAGTCGAAAGGCCGGTGACCGCAAGACCGCTTCCGCCGACGTTGAGACCGCTGGAGTCGATTTCGCCCTCGACAACGAGGGGTGCGCTAATCCGGACCTGCTCTTCGAAGTGAGCCCCCTGCTTGACGTGGAGGGAACCCTCGACCTCGGTGGTGGCGTCAGTGCGGCCAAGGTGGGCGGCACCGTGCTGGCTCGCGATGCGGACGACGCCGGCGGCACCGCCATCACCACCATCGATGAGGACGTCGCCACCCTGGGCGCCAGCACCGCCGTAACCGGCGGCGAAGATGAGGTCTCCACCGCCGTTGACTCCGCTCTGACCGAGGATCGCCGTGTTGTGCGCCGACGTGGAGGTAGCGTCCGGGCGCGACATGGTGAACGCATGGTCGCCCGACCCGACAATGATCTCAGAGCCGGCGACGACCAAGTTCTCCTCAACGACAGCGCTGGTGACGGTGACAGAGCCGCCCTCGACGTAAAGCTGACCGCGAATGACCACGTCAGCGTCGGCTTGACCGATTTCGACGCCGCCATTTCTGGTGGCGATCTTCACTATACCGTTCTCGCCGTTGTCGCTGGAACCGGCGTCGAGGTAGAGATCTCCGCCCCTGTTACCGGGCTGAGCGTCCTGAGCGCTGAAGTAAGTCGAGTAGGCGGGACCCTCGTCCAACCGAATAGGCCTGGTGGCGTGGAAGGGTGAGGTGGGCGATCCCAGCTCGAGATCTCCGGTGAGCGCAACGTCGGCCAAGTTGGTGCTGCCGGTCACGGTGACATCTCCGTTGAGAGTCGTAGATCCGCCTTCGTGGCTGACCTCGACAGAGCTGCTCGAGGTACCGATGTAGACGGCTCCGTTGCTCTCGCTGCCGTGACCACCATCGATCGAGATGGAGCCGCCCAGGGTTGAGCGACGACCGGTGATCTCGGACACGACGATGGATTCGGCGTTGAGATTGTTCACGTTGACCTCGCTAGCGGGAATGTCAATGGTCGAGTCCTCTCCTCCGAGATGAAGCACGGATGCGGTCTGACCGACGAAGACCTCGCCCTTGACGGCTCCCTCACCTGCGTTCAGGTACAGGTTACCGCCGGCAGTGAGACCGCTTCCCGCCGCAATGTGAACGTCTCCACCGGCGCCGCCAGAGTTGGACTGACCCTCGAGCGAAGTCGCGAGTCCGCTACCATCCGGCCGAGAGAAGGTGAACGCCCCCGAGGCGGTACCAAAGGCGACCTCCGACGTCGCAAAGCTGGCGCCTCCGGACACGGTGAGGGTCTCGAGCGCGGCCTCGCCCTCAACAGTGAGCCCACTGAGGAGGGCATCTCCGCTGACCTCGAGCTCGTCGGCGTGGACGAAACCCGCGGTGAGGTTGGCCAGCGAGGCCTCTGAGGCCGAGAGAGTTCCAATTTCGGCGTCCTCCGCGCTTACGCTGGTGACCTCGGCGTTCCCGACCGTGGCTCTCTCGGCGTAAAGATCGACGATCGACACCGATCCTTCGACGGTGACGACAGCCGCGTTGTCGCCCAGGCGAATCTCGCGAGCATCAACGACGACCGTCTCGCCGGAGATGACGAAACTGTCTTCGGCTGCTGAGAGCGAGCCCTTGTCGCCCACTACGAGCTCGGAAACCGCGGCTGACTGCGCAGCCAGGTTGGTGGCCGAGACCAGCTCCGCAGTCACGCTGGCTACGTTGGTCTCGCCGTTTACTGTGATGTCACCCTCGAAAACTGTATCGTTTCCCTTCACATAGAGTTGGCCATCGACTGTGAAGTCGCCGTGCAGTTCTCCTGATCCATCTGCCTCAAACACTACTTCCGCTCTGTAAGGGGGAATAGATTGACATTGCGTTAGAAATTAAAACCATGATCATTGTGGGATCTAGAGAATTCGAGGATCAAGATCAACTGATGTAGACGGAAGTAGGAGTAGCACGGAGGGGGAGAGAGAGAGAAAGAGAAAGGGAGTAGCGGAGGAGGATCGAACCCTTGGCCTTTGCTGACACTTACGGAGAGGAGGGCTAGGAAGAGCAGTAAGTAAGCCCGATTCATGACTGCTCTTCTTTGTCCACCTTCGTTCGCCAAGTGTAGTTGCTAGCTAGAGGTGCTGCGGCCGTGTGTGAGTAAAACAAGAAGACTACTCGAGCCGACCGCCCGCGACTTTACGTGTTCCCCTGCCCGCTACGCACCCGAAACGTTTGGGCGGCCAATACCAAAAAATGCTGTTTTTGTTTGTACTTTTATACCAACCGAGGACTCCTATTTGGCCTCAGTCTCTCATTTCTCGCATTCCAGGTGGAATTTCGCAATCCAGCAATAACTTCGGAATTCACACTCTTTTTTATCTGGGATTGAATATTCATAATAATCAACATCGACCCAACACGAAAAAGAAGGTCATTGCGAGACAATGATGAGGCGTGGAATCTACTGCGCGGCGTGGGCGCAGCATCAGGCCCGTCGGTGTCCTTTTGGAAGGGCAGTGCGGACGTTCGCTTCCGAAGCAAACAACTCTCGTGCGTGAGTAATCGCACGCAAATGGCCACCACCTAATCGCCTAATCAATCATCACTAGCACAGATGGAGCAGTCGTCTCTACCGAGTGGGTGAGAGCGAATGTGGACAGGATAAAGGTCATCGATGCGTCCTGGTCCTTGGGCAAGAGAAGCCAACACACTGTTAAACTGCCAGGTACCGCCATTTCTGGTTTCTGTCAGTAATTACTCGGCGATCACGGATCGAATTCCTAATCAATCCAGACGCCTAGGCGCAATTTACTTTGACATCGACGAGATCGCCGACAAGAGGACATGGTACGTCCTTGAACATTAGCGCCACGCCGGTAGTCAGTGCCCTGATACACATGTGGGGGGCGGTAGGCTGCCTCACATGTTGCCCACCACAAGCATGTTTGCAGCAAAAATGGAGGAACTCGGGTAACCCTCACATCTGGCCTTGTTGTTATACTCGCCCTCGCTCACTGCACATTTTCCCGTTGTTGCAGCATCACCAACGAGGATCAGCTCCTGGTGTACGATGAAAGTGATGGCCAGTTCGTTGCCAGCGCGCGCGTGTGGTGGACCTTCAGGGTTAAGTATTGCTGCCAGTTGGCACACACAGCTCGCCATCAACGTTGTGTGGTCTCTCATTCTCCGTCGCTCGACATACAGGTATTCGGGCATAACGACGTTAAGGTCCTGGCCGGCGGATTGAAGAACTGGCCAAAGGGCTTGCAGATCCAGAAGACGGCTGCGGTACATCTTCCCTCCACAACGTGCACAGAACGTCTGCTCAGCCACCGTCGGCGCTAGGACCCCAAAGAACACGGATTGAAGTTCGCCGTGCGTAAGGAACCTGCGCTGGTTTGGAGCAAATATGACATGCTCGACAACTTGTCTCCAACGAACAGCGACCAGTCACAGGTAAGGTCCACCTTCACGCCTTCCTGCTGCGGTCTTGTGTTTAACTCGTGGAAAAATAATTGACGTGCGTGGGGGAGAAGATCGTGGATGCCCGCTCAAGGGAGCGGTTCTACGCTCAGGTGGATGAACCGCGCGCAGACATCCCTCGCGGCTCCATTCCAGATAGCATGAACGTCCCCTTCGGTAGCCTGTTTCAGACCACTCACAGCGAGCAGGGCGAGCCTATGCACGTACGTGGCCACAGGCGCTTATTTCCTTCGGCTCTTCGTCCGCCAGCTCACTCAGGCTGCCTACTCAAACACTAGGTTCTCAAGAGCCCGTCCGAGTTACAACGTATCTTTGAGCAGGCGGGAGTGGATGTCACCAAGAAGGTGGTTGCCTCGTGCGGCAGTGGAGTCACCGCGAGCGTGGTGGCACTTGCCCTAAACGAGCTCGGACACTCGCGTGCTGCCGTGTACGACGGCTCGTGGACCGAGTGGGCCATCGCCGCCGACACGCCCAAGGTGGTCAAGCGCATCAGCGCAGCGCAAGCCGCCGCCGCCTTCGCCACGTGAGCCGTTTCTGTTGCGTGCTGAGGTAAGCAAGGAATTCAAACAAGAACCACGTGCCTTTTTTTTTGGAGGAGCCCCAAAAAGGGTGTGTCTCTTCTCGCCACAACAAGACTGCGCCCCGCAGCGACACAGGATTTTCGTTAACGTGGTGGAAGGTGGCAGGCCCCCCTGGCTATGCGAACTGGCGAGAGGCGCCAGCAGACACCCACCACCCGTCTCCATTATTGAGAACAGGCCCGTACGCGCGAGTACCACAATCATCGACGTCAACAGCGACATCTACTACTAGTACCGCATCGAGCGGTGAGACTTAATGGACCAAGAAAGCTCCCCTCGAGGAGGTACCTCGCCCCGTACTCGAAGTTCTCCTCGCGACGATGACCCGAAGTGGCACGCAGAAGCAAGCCGAGGAAAGCACGGCCCTCACCCTCTGCGCCCTGAGCACGAGAGGGAAGTAAAGGCGGTACGCGACAGGTCGTCGAGTACGGATAGCCCCAGGATCGCTGGCCAACAGGAGGAAGCCGCCGGCCCGCTGGTGCGAAGGAAACTCTCCGTTGAAACACGCAATCAGCCTCCGCTCTCGCCACGAGGTGCCTCTGGGGGGGACGACTCCCCCAGCACGAGCCCCCACCTCCTCAAGGAAAAGGTGGCGCAGCTGCAGGTGCGGCGCTCCTCCTACGGCCCCAGCCACCCTCCCCCCAAGTGGGAGGGACTCGAAGGGGTCAAACTCGAGGATCGCATCAAGGGTCTCTCGGCCTCATTCTCTCCGCTCTTCCCCCGTGCGTTATCCTCCCGCCCTCCACGCGTCGTGTTGGACTGCAGCCCCCTCTCCCCCTTCTGCCCTAAAGCTCCCCTCCTCCAGAACCGCCACACGCGGTTGAAGAGGCAGGCACCGTCCGTCCCCGCCGGCTAGACCCGAGCAAGCTCTCCGCCTTAGCGACCGTGCTCCCCCAAGGCTCGGACAGTCCCAGCGCTGGCGTGAGCCACATTGGCCGGCTTCCACCCGGCGCGCCTCCCATCCGCTTTCTGGGCTTCGGCCCCGATGCCCACACCAACCCCGAAGACGCCGCTGGCGCCGCTGCGGATTTGCTCAAGAACTCGGTGCTGCTCACCATCGACGTCCCGGACTTGGGCACCTCCGTCAAGTTGCGGTTCCGCGTCACCTCGTCCGTCGACGCCGCCAAGCAGGTTCAACTCTCAGCTGTGGTCCTCACACAAGAAACCTGCACATGCCAAGCGCTCACACGACACGACACGACACGACCAACGACACGACACGAACTTCCACTGCAGGTTTTGCATCGGAAGCTGCTAAAGGACGAGCTTCTCGCAATGGACTTTTGGAACCCCGTCACAGGCACGTCTCTGCGACCCGACCGGAACCTGCAGGACTATCTGGTTCAGAACGAGGTGCGGCGCTGTCGTAAGCGACCAACACGCCCCCTTCTTCCTGGGTGCACTCACTCTCGTACAGGATCGTCTCGTACTTGCGACCGAGCATTCCCCGTCAGCTGTGCAGACCAAGGTCCGAGTCGAAGTAGAGCCCACACGCCTCGTGGAGACCGTGCTTTGCTACAAGGAAACAACGGTGCTGGGCCTTATCCAAACCATGAATCGAAAGTACGGTGGACACATTTCTTTTTGTACGCATGCGTCTAACAGTCCTATACACTCACTTGTCCTTCAATCATAAAGGGGGGTACCACTGGAACACGTTTCTCTCTATGGCTTGTGGCGAGGGAGAGATGGCCCGTGGCTAGACGAAACGAAGCTCGTGAGCTCATATGGTCTGGAGCAATCCGTACGTTCGCTAGGGACGGCTTGCAGATGCAACGTGGAAGTCTCTGTCGCCAAGGCTCACTCGTATGTCGCTGTGCCAACAGGATATACTGGTGCTGAGGAGAAGGTTCGCCGAGCCAACCAAGGAGCCTCCTCCTCCTCCTTCGCACGCCAGTGACCAACTCTCGCAAGCGCAACAAGACGCAGCGGACAGTACGAGCTCTCCCCCATTCATTGAGTTCCATCCACTAACCGATCTGTTTTGTTCTCTTGCCCAGCCATCAGAAAGCGGTTCAGAACAACGTCAACGGCGTCGTTTGTGAGGGTGAAAAACTCGCAGGTCAATGTCGACCAGTCGGGCGAGCCTCCTTTTGGTACCGATTCCTAATACCACGCAAGTGCTTTTGGTTGGCGAAACATCATCCTGGCCGTGGTGCTCAATTGTCAGATCCGTCCGGGGCGATCATCGTGGTCAAATTTCTATGCAAGAACAGCGACTTCATCACCATGCTGCGAGTTGGCACCAGGGACTCTACGGACACTCTCCGCGCTCGCATCAAAAAGAAACTGGACGACGTTCACAACTACGATATCTACCTGCCTTCTCTCGCCCGCATGGCTGAGAACACGTGCCTGGAGGACCACCACGTCAAAGAAAGGGTTCGCTTCGCCGCATTGCCCTTTCGTTTCACCAGCTTGACGCGGTTATTCCTTGGATGAACGCAGGATCAGCTGGAGCTGCGTAAGAAGTCCGAGCCTGCGGGGCCTAGCCCCGCTGCCGAGACACTGGCAATCACCGAGGTTAGGAAGGAGGACGCCACACAGAGCAGGCCGACCAAGAAGAAGTCAGAGGGCGGGAGCTCCATCCGGGTCTTCGGTTCCATGCGAAGAAAGAAGGAGAGGGCACTCACCGCATCGGCGCCCCCCTTCCACATGACCGCTGCATCCGCCGCAGCCGCCGCCGCATCTCCGCCGCCTACGCCAGCACCTGCCCCAGTTCCTGCGACGGCGCCCATCATGCCACCCAAGGATGATGACGGGGACAAGCGAAGGAGCAAGATATGGGGCCGGGAGCGAGACCTATTGACTTCGTTCTTCAAGAACCGGTACCGACCCCACCGCAAGCCATTGCCCCCCCCCACGTGAATGCACTAAGGGTGCGCGCATGACGCGTGCGGATACAGACCGGACAAAGACGAGCTCGTGGCAAAGAAGATTCTCGTGCACCCGGACGGTTCGGTCGTTCTCGAGGAGGCGGCCATAATGCTCAATGCCGACGTGGTCAGCCGAACGATCGAGTGGCTCCGACAGCAAAGAGGTATGCGCTAAACTCCCCCACCACCACCACCACCCACTTTCCTTGCAAACCAAAATCGCAGACTTCTTTGAGCTGGAGGGGGTCTTTCGAATCTCGGGTGCCTCCACCGCGGTGAAGCAGATATGGAGCAGCTTCCGCGGGCCAGGTACCTCTTCCCCTCTGTGGCCGTGCGTCTATAGTCTGACCTTGAAGCTGCTTCATAGTATGCCGATCCTCCGTTACTTAACGCTATTGCCCGCCCACACAACCCAGCTGAGGAGATTGACTTCAAGCAGGCCAGCTCTCCCCACGATGTCTGTGGCGCCCTGAAGCATTACTTCCGCGAGAGCTCGGTCCCGCTCATCCCCTTCGAGCACCACCAGGACTTCGTCGCCGCTGGCCGTACGGCCCTCCACTCCGAATGCGCCAATGTGAGTGTGTGGGATGTGTTCTGACGTTACGCGTTGCCTCCCCGCCTCAGAGATCGCTGATGACCGCCAATGTGCTGACGCACTGAAGGCTGCTGTGCCGGCTCTTCCGGCGGATAACATGCGCATGATCAAGGAACTCTTTGGATTCCTTCACCAGGGTACGTCACCACCCAACGGCCAAGGTCTACGTTGTGAGTGTACCATCACGCACACTGGTCTTACCGTGTGGCGCCACATGGCAGTCATGCTGCATCAGGAAAAGAACAAAATGTCGGCCAACAACCTGGGCATTGTGTTCGGTCCCTCGATCATGCGCAATCGCTCCAACACCGTAGATTTCTCCTCCACTGGCCACCAGTCTGCCGCAACCTATGCCATGATTCAGTACTATGACTACATATTTGCCAACGCGGTACGGAACCTCGAGCGCGCATGGTCGCGACCACTCTTGCTCACCCCTATCCGCAGGAGTGGAGGGCAAAGGCGCCTCCGACCGTGCAGCCGTCCCCTCGACATCTGCCTGTGACGCCTCTCTCGCCAGTCCAGCCTGCTTCCCCCGGAGCGTCATCGCTCGCGAAGTCGACCTCCGATGCGTACCGGAAGGAGCGTGGCAACTCCATGCCGGACGAGCACAGGGCTCTCCTGGCGCACGTCTCGCTGTTCGACAAGACCGACGACTTTGCTTTGCTGGGGCTCGCGAAAAAGCTACACGCGGCTGACACCGGTACTCCTTTCCCTCTTAAAAAGGCCAGCCACCCACCAGATCCATCCATCCACCCATCCTGGATCCTCACGACGTGAGGGTGCCTTTCGCAGACACCAAGCTGGCGGAGGTGATGGAAAAGGAGCTGAATGGGCCGAAGTTGGTTGCCCTTTGCCTGGGCTTCGCGCGGGTGATCAGCGACATGACGGAGAAGCGGCAGCACGACGCGGCGGCGAGCAGCAAGCGGAGATCCCTGGGCGAGAGCAAGCTCGCCGAGCTCTTGGCCAACCTCACTTCCTCAAGCGGAAGCTCGAGCCCAACGAGTGCCTCCGCGGAGGAGGGCCTCCATGCCGTAGCGGGCAAGCCCGCCACCGAGGCCGCCAGCGCCAAGAAGACAAGCAAGCGAAAGTCCAAGAAAAAGACCAAGGCCGACGGAGACAACGAAGAGGTGTCGAAGAGGCGGAGCGGGTCCTGGTTAGCGATTCCAGGCAAGAGCGGCAAGAAGGACAAAGGAAGCAAGAAGCGAGGTGATGACTCTGGCGGCGAAGGCGTGCATGCAGAGTAGTCTCCACCCCTCCCTTGCTTATGTAAAATAAATTCCGGTATTGACCCAAATCTCGGCAAACACATCGCTTGTACTGCCGGACGACCGGCGTTGCCCCTTTCCGCTGGGCTCCTTGTGGTGCGGTTCCGACCACCAAGAGTTCGTCATACACGACCTCCCGGCAAAGACGAGGCCTCAACAGGAGCATCCATTTCCCTGGGTTGATGCGTCATAGTCGCTGCAGTGAAGGAGAGGAGGAGTCAGCCAGGAGAGCAGCACGCACATAGGGAGGGAGGAGCAGTCGGGGAGTAGGCAAATACTCAATGTTGCGGATCACATCTCGCCGGCCTTTGTTTGGGCCAGCGGCATTGGTGTCAGCTTTCGTAGACACGTACTGAGCCGCTCTGCGGGCCAGCTCGGCGAAGACCTCGTCCACGCCCGTGTTGTCCTTTGCGCTCGCCACGAAGTGGGCGCAGTCTGCACCGTGGCTCCACTCCTCGGCGTCCCTGGCATTCACCTGCGCCCGCTCACGGTGAGACCACAGCCAGAGCGCCAGCTCACAACAAGGACCAGACCAGGGCAGGGCGAGCGACCTGGCGCGTGGTCTGCAGATCCATCTTGTTGCCCACCACCACCATCGGCACAGCGGCTCCGGCTGCGTGCACGTGAAAGAAAGATGAGAGTCTCATCTTGGCGGCAGGCGGGTGGGTGGAAGGGAGAGCAGTGCGGCGGACCCATGGAGCGGAACTCGGAGAACCACCCTTCAAGGTCGGCGAAGGACTGGCTGGAGGTGACGTCGTAGACCATCAGACACGCATCGGCCCCTCGGAAGTAAAGGGGGCTCAGGCTCCTGTACCGCTCTTGCCCCGCCGTGTCCTGAGTCCGCACACGCCACCGCAGCCACCCACACAACGCCCACCCGCCGTTCACCACACACTCGATGCGATGGAGGCAACTCACTCGCGCGGGCGCGCGCGAGGGCTCACGCACCCACATCTCGAGCTTGATCAGGACTCCGTCTGCGAGAAGGTCCTTTGTCACGAATGCCGCCCCGATGGTGGAGTCGTGCCTGGGCAGGATGTGATTACAAATGGGTCGGAAACCCATTGTCGGAGTCAAATGAGCGACAACCACCACCACCACACCATTGGGGGGGGGGGGTGGAGGAGTGACGTGAGCACGCACTTGTCGAACTTGTTGAACACAAACCGCTGCACGAGGGCCGTCTTGCCCACCCTGGCCGACCACTGTGGTCAGCATATATGCATGCAGGCGCCTATTGCGGGGTGTAGTGGTGGGGTGTACCCGCAGTCGCCCACAATGACCACCTTCACCGTAAACTTTACTGGTGCTGCCGCCATGCCTCCCTCTGTCTCTGCCTCCTCTGTCTCTAGAGACTGTTTCTTTGGATCGAGGTAAACGCGTTTGATGAAAGAGATGGAAGGGCTCTTGGACTCCGGAAGACGTGGGGGGGAGGCTAAAGGGAAAGCGAAGAAGAAAGTGGCGACTACGTTTTTGCCGCGGAAATGAAAATAAAGAGAAAAAAGAGGAAATGAGACTGTTTCTGAAAAGAAAGAGGAGGAAAAGGAAGTCACCACGACGTCCAACAATGAGGCCTTCCTCGTAGTGCTAGATGGCGAACGCCACCCGAGCGCCCCCGATTCGCACTGGGCCGGATGATGTACTACAAGAATTATAAGCTCTTCTTCAACGCCTACATCAAGGCTTCGCGCCTTCGGTGGGTGCTCGTGACGCCACAGAACGCCGCCTCCATCATGCGCCTCGTCAAGGAGGCCTTTGTGCGCAAGTCGGCCCCGAAGAACGGCGAAGGGATCTTCACTCAGGAGTTCATCCGCACGCTCCTCGCCGGGTACGCCCGCGCTTCGGCTCGGCAGTGTCATCATCACGCGTGTGGGCAAGTACAACATAAAGATCATGATCAGCCACGATCCCGACACCGGCAGGCAGCTCCGCGATGCCCTTTGGTGTCGCCGAGCGCGCGGGTCATGGCGTTGTGCACCCCGTCGAGTCGCACGTAGGTCTGGTTGGGGTCCGCGGGTCGGGATGCGAACGACGCCCCGGTGAGCTCCACGCGCCGATCCTCGCGCTCGCTGGCGTGTGGCTTGTGGTCCAGCGTGGTGAGCTGCTTGTGTCCGATGGTGGGCCGTGCGATGATGGCCTCGGAATCGCCCACCAATGCCCACCACAGCACGGTGCCATCCTATTGCCACAGGCACACGGTGGCCGTACTGCCCGAGTTGCGATGATGGTGCATGTGGATCAGTGTTGAGCTGGCGCTGCGCCTGCCAGAAGGCGAGCACGAGTTTGGCGTTGATCTCGCCCGATCGGCGTCGTCAAGGTCGAGCGCATCGCCGAGGTGGTGGGCCATGCACTCAGGCAGCATCTTGCGCAGGGCGCACGACTCCGTTGAGAAAATGTAACTCCGATCTCGTCTCACCAATAAAAGGGCTATGAAGACAATGACTCAGTTGTCTTTTGTCTCACAGAACACATACACTGAGTTACTCTGCTCAACAGGTTATGGACCCACGCTCATGATGACGCACAAAGGAGGTCATTGCTTTACACTGAAGACAGCTGCTGACTAGTCACCTGCCTGCACTGCCATCAGAATGGCATCACCCAGTGACAGTTCCAGGAATTTGTCACTTGCTGCAGTCTGTTGTGGATGGAGGGTGTCTCACAACCAAGCCCTTCATTGTTAGATTTCTCAATGAAGATTAGCACCTTGACCAAAACAATGTAACCACAGAGTTGTGGTCTGGAACCTCATCAAGCACTGGCAGTGGGAGAATGTCTACAAAGTTCTGCCAGCTGCTGCAGGGACAGAACTCAGCTGGATCATCCTCAACCACATCTCCAGCTTCAAGAACTACATCAACTCAGCAGGCTCAGTTGTCCTGAATGCTTTCAAGAAGGCCCTGAACTACTACACCCTCAGCCAAAACCCACTCTTCCAGATCACACATGGCAAAAAAACTGTTACCAACTACAATGCTCTCATGGAGCACCTGGTATGTCCACCACCTTCATATTCCAAACCATTACTCATCACCCCACACCTCTCAGAAAACACTCAAGGGTCATGCTGCACCAAAGCCCACCACTCTGCAGAAGTACTCTACTACCTTAAGGGCCCTGTTCAATGCTCCAGGAGTGGTGGAGTATGTTATTTCTACTCTAACTCTTCACCTTTGTTTTGAGGATGCAGCAACTTGCCTATCAAAGTCTTATGGTGTTGGATTCTACATCTCCTCATCTCCCTCCAACATTGCCAATGCCATCACCTCACTTGAGTCACACTCCACCCTCCAGGTCTTCTGCCTACTCCACTTCTACTACAGCTCCCCAACTTACTCCAGCTCCATGCCCACCTCTGAACCTCTTGTCAGTGGCTTTGATGTTCTCATCTTCAGCCACAAGAGGGGTAACATGTCCGCCATCTGGCATCCTCTGGCCAGTGACACCATCCCAGAACCCTTCTGCTATCTGCACCACATCCCCATCCCACACCCAATGTGTGAGGTTGTCCACTCTGCTCCTGCTTTCCTCACTGCTCAATCATTGGACCGCACCCTGCTTCACATTGGCCTCTACAGCTTCCTCATCCAGAGCTTAGAGCTTCCCAATCCTTCTCCCCACCCCATCACATTGCCCACCACTCCCTACCACATTCTCCATGAGGCAAATCCCACCTACTACCTCTCCTTCTGTGCTGCCCTTTACTCCAGCTTTGTCTGCCTCTCCTCTACCCCCATAGCAGAGGGCAACATCTCCTCTCTCACCAACTGGCTCCTCACCTTCCACTCTAAATTCCTGGAGGAGTCAGATCTCACAGCCATCACTTCCTTCCTACAAGGCCTAACTTCACATCCTGCCCTTGCCCCTCTCACACCCAAGACCAGCTCCTCCTCTTCTGGTCCATGGAAAGTGTGGAAGTCCATTGGCTAATGTTTCCCTCCACTCTGTTCTGTTCCTCATTTCAACAAAATACATTAGCCCTTTTTTACACTTATGCCTTGAAATTCTTCATTGCCCCCATCTGCTTTTACCATGACCTACACCATTTTTCCCTGTTTTGCCACTCTCTGTACATATTTTGCCAAAACCACTCACACACCATGTTCAAAAAAGTACTGCTTTCGCTGCACATACACATATATCACTTGTACAGATTTTACTTTACAAAAGGTGCCACTGGCACCTTTTTCTGGACACAGTGTTTATGTGTGTTCTGGAATGCATTGACAATTCCATTAATTAACCATATGATTGGCTTATGATATTGTTGACAGTCCCTGATGTGCATTGGGAATTTTATTTGTTGACAATTCCAAATGTGCATTGGGAGCTTCAACTTGTCCAGAGTCCCACAATGTGCATTGGTATTTTTACTGGTCAACAGGCACACCACATGTGCATAAAGCTGTGCTAGTGTTGAAGGATGTGGCATTTGTAACTTGCGCCAGTTTCTGATGTGCATTTTACTCCACAACCACCATGCATAGGCAATTTCTTAGTTGTCATTGACAAACACAAATATCTAGTATTCCTTGCTAATGTTACTGCTGTACACAACAGAAATACATGGTATTCCTTGTGTCTGTTAGAGCTGTTGCTTTTTGGAATACAGTTTAAAAGCCCAGGTTGTGGCCATAGTTTCTTATCTACAACATGTCAACACATCCAGCACAACACCACACCATCTTGAAGAGGACCTGGCATCCTCAATTCTTGACTCTCTCTTTACACTGTCACTTCAGCCTGTTCCTCACACCCCAAGAAAACAACTACTATGCACTGCAGAGCAACACACACCTAAAAAACACAGGACCCTGGTCACTGCTGACACACTTCAGGCCCTTCACATTTGAATTGCTGCATGTCTTTTTGCCTCTCTCACTTCACATCTGATGAATTGATGGCCATTTCTGCCCCCTATGCAGAGAGGAATGAGCATGAGTGAACTCAATTCTTGAACAACACAATGTCTGTCACCTGCACTTCTCTGGTACCCTTATGCCACTTCAAGTTGCGACTCAATGGCTTGCCTGTCTGCCTCACTGCTTTTGAAGGTGCAGCACCATTCCTCCTTTGATATTGCCACCCATTTCTGTTATTGCTGCTACCATTTTACATTTATCCTTCCACCTCTAGGCTCATGGCTTCAGTCACACCAAGTGGCGTTCAGCTCTTCAGGTGGTTATTGTTGGAGGCTGGGTACCTATGACACCTGTGGCCACCAACAGCCTTCTAATGCAACCACCAACTCACACCTAACTTGTGGTGATTTGAAATGAGAGGTCACAAATGACTGGAATTTTTGTTGTGCTAAAATCATGTGAGATTTGACATTTTTGATTTATAGGGCAGTTTTGAAGATTTGGAGCTGCACATGTGATTTTGACATGCTAGACTGCTGCATATAAGTGATATTGAGAGACTTGAGATGAAAATGATTTCATAAAAACTTGGAATTTGTGGAGTTAAAAGTGATTTTAGCAGTGTGAAATGGAGTGGAATTTTAACTTCAGGAATAGTGCTCTAATTCAGCACAAATGTGAAGAATGAAGTTTAGTGCATGTGTGCAACTGACTGAATATGGTGTGAGGTTGTACATGAACTGGAAGTGAGGGCAGCATGTTGGCCACTGATTATGGAATTGATGGAGGGGGTGAAAGCAAAAGCAAGGTGCATTTTGAGGTTGTTCCAAGGAGCACTGACACAAAACAAGGTAGAGTCAGATTTTACTTTGTGCCAACACATCTGTGATAAACAAACAAATGGTAGGTCAAATGCGTAGTCATCATGTATGTGTACACAATAAAGTAAGCATCCAGTTTTACAGTTTTTGTTGTTGTGTTTGTGTATGTGATACAACTTTTGAGATGGGTTGGAGCGAGCACTTGTCATGGAGGTTCAAAAGGTACATCAAGAGGTTTGCCCAGTCAGCCCAATGTGCCATATGTGGGGCACTGTAACAAACCTCAGGTGCTGTGTGCAATATGCAACACCAACAACTTACTTCCTTCTTTTTCCCCTCCTGAGTGGCTCAGGATCAAGCAGTTCTTTGGTGTGGGTTGGGCTAAGGTGACCAGAGTCTTTGTCCAGATCAGGCCAGTCTTTCTGCATGCTAAGAAGCTGTGACTGGAGCGCAGGTCTCATCTGGTTGTTGAGATCCAGTGAAACATCTGCACACATGAGGGAATTGTAGGAGGCAGAGGTGGGTGGGTCAGCAGTCAAGTGGTAGGACCCATCAACACTGTGTCTGGAAAAAGGTGATAGTGGTACTTTTAAATGAAACTAAAAACAGGTGTACATGAGATAAAAACACTGCAGAATTTGAATGTACACAGAGAAGAGAAGTTTTATTTACAGGTGTCTAAATATTTCTTGAAGGGTGGGTGGGGGAACTCCAGTGTTGGCGTTAAAGTCAAAGCCACAAGCTAAAACAGACCCCATTGGAACAGTGCTTTCTGAGCCATGGTCAGTCCAGTGCCATTAGTGAAGTTCCACCAGTGGACATGGAGCCTCTTATGGAGAACACTGATGATCTTGCATATCCAAAAGTCCTGAGTGTCTTCATCAGCATCAGCCTGGACAGCAACCCACTGACCAGGAGCAAAGTTGAAATGTTGGACTTGGGGTGTAGTCCATGTGTGGACAACCTTGACCCTGGTTTGGAGATGGAACAATGGACCATCAAGGAGAGGATTAGTGATGGGGTGAGTTGTGAGTCCATCAAAAATCAAGTTATCACAGGTGGGTTGGGAGCTTGAAACAAGAGCCTCATGTGCTTCAAAGATATCAGCCCACTCACTAAGCTCAGACTCAAGGAACAGTGGAGCATGGCAGTTGTCAGCCAACTCAGTAAGCACTTCAGGCGGAAATTGCTGAGGAGGGATAGTGAAAGGTGCTCCTGATATGGTTTGTGTAAGTTGTGATATCTTTTGGTAGGGTGTGTGCAACTTAGTGAGGAGGAAGGGGAGCAAACCAGTCAGAATGGATGTGAGAAGCTGGTGTGGCTCAGAGTAGGCTCCTTGGGTGTGGTAGGCTTTGTCCCAGATCACTGGTTTGCCTGAAGCATCACAGAAAAAATGGAAAACATGGGGGGTGGAGTGACCAGTCAGGCCATGCATGTGATTTCCAAGCCAGCTCTTCCAGTCCCAAACAGTTTCAAGGGTATGCAGGGAAGGAGCTGGGCTGGTGGATTGGTAAGCCTGCTCAAGAAAACCTGAAAGTTGACTGAAATTTGAAGATGAAGTTAGGAAGGTGAACAAAAAGGGGCAATCATTAATGCTGACAGATGTGCATTGGGTAATGAGTCAACAAATAAAAAACCTGATGCACATCAGGAAAACAATCAACACAAAAAAAGAGTGATGACCATTACCTTGGGGTGTGAATGGAAGAGGTATGGAACTTTGTCTGAGCAGTGGAGAAGAGCTGGTCAATGTCTTCATGTGTATGCCCAACCAACAGAAAGCTCAGGTAGACCTCTTGGAACATATCTAGGCTGACCAGGAGACTGAGGAAGGCAAGCATGAAGACATTCTTGTTCTCAGCAGCACAATTGTCAGCCTGCAGGTAGAGGATAGAAGGGTGAGTGTTGGAGGTGGTGTTAGTCAAAAGGCGAGTTCAGATGTGGTGAAAGAGTGTGGAGATGACAAGGTTAGCATCTTTTGGCCAAAAGGGCTGAGGGTGTAGAAAGAGGTGTTTGCCATGGCTGTGGTCAATGAGACCACCAAGAACCATGGTGAACCGCCCAGCTGATGCTGGACAAGCACTACCAAAGCATCTGAGGCTTCACTGTGCTCATTGAGAAGGAGTTCCTCAGCTTCAGACATAAATTTGATGAGTGATACAGCATGTGATCACACACACTCACCTTCTCCCACATTCTGTCATTGGCAGTGGTCAGATGCCTTGGGAGTTATTGTTTATGCTGTGAGATTCTCATTCCATTTCAATTAGGGAAGTGGCAGGTTGTACCAAACTCTTCCTCATTTGTTCTGTCCATTCACATCCTCAAGAAGGAAGCAGACAATAAAGGGCTTGGTGGTGAGGAAACCACCACGACACTGTCAACAATGGAGTGCAGAAGGGGACAAACACCAGTGACAGTGACTGGGCTATGTCACTCTGGAAGAGGGTGATATGAGTGGACACTGGAACATGCAACATCTTGAATTAAGGGCTTTACCAAAAACAATGCATTTGCAAACATCCACCTTTCACCATGAATGCCAATGGAGCGTTGATGGTTATAATGCACATCATCTCACCCATGAAGACAGTGAAATTTCAGAGTGGGCTGTCACCATTGGTGGCCTTGATCCTAACACTTTTTAAGAAATGTCTGCAAAAAAGCTCATTGGTTGAGCATAGTCCTTTTAAGGCTGAACATGGTGCAATGGTCATTTTTCTGGAAGGAGAGCGACCTCAAGAAGAAGAGCCTCAGCAAACTTCAAAACATGTGCACAGTACATCAATAGCACAGTTTGTTTAATGAAAGTAGTGTGATTTAATTGAATCATGTGTCTTGCACTTCAGAATTACTTTGCAAGTGTGGCAGAGGTGGAGAAGAACAAGACAAAACTGACTGAATTGGTATGCACCATCCCATTGTGTATGTGTATGTGATGAAATCTTATTAGCATTTATAGACACAATTTCATTGTGTATGTGTATGTGATGAAATATCATTTTAAATATACAATAAAACTAAGTTTATGCCATCCTTTCATTTTGTGGTGTTGTCCCATCATAATAACAGTTGTTTCATTATACTCCATAATTCCATTATATTCAACATATTTACTCTTATAATCAATTATAACCACCATTTTATATAAGTAATCTATTGTGTATGTGTACACAATAGAACAACTGATATATTCTCATCAATGAAGATCATTCTTGACTCTCAGCAGACCATACCTGAGACTCAAGAGCAAGAATCTGAAAAAAATAGCACCACTGGAGCCAGCTCCATCACAGAGATGTCACAAGATTTGCTTGGAGCACTGGTACCTTTATAGGTAAGTGTGTTTGATTTTGAATGAAATGTAGTCCTTTGTAAATCTCACCAATCCTGTACTTTCTTCAGGTTGAAGTGACAGCCCAAACAAGACCTGCCAGAGAGGAGCAAGTAACCCTGCCACCTGCCATGGCCACTGATGAGGAGCTGTTGAAGCTCCTGAAGGAGGTATAACTTGCAGTCATTTGCAATGAGAGGTCCAGTCATTTTGAAAAGTTGTGTTATCAAAACCATTTTTATGAGCTTAAACTCACAAACAAAAT